AATATGTTTTAAACTAAATTTAGGACCATTTGAACTCCAATTTTTATAAACTTATAGTCAAATTGAATGTCTTGACACAATGAACCCAATAAAACCAAAAGTGAAGTGATCTAAGCCCAAATATATTCAAACCAAATGCTTAATTTTTTTTTTATTTATAGGATACTGATTCAAGAGTAGAAGATTGTCCAAATTTTGCATGCTTACAATCATATGAGAGTCTCAATGATGGGAATTAAATGGCCCAAAGATTACTCGATTCGAAAGAAATTAAGGCACTTAAACATGAATAAAAACCTATGATAAAAAAGAACAATATGAAATAGTCAATGAAGAGTCTATTTGGAGCAGTTGTTGATTATTTATAATCTGCTGATAAGTAGATTATTCTAATAATCTAATAAAATGCAGATTATCAGAATAAACTGGCTTGTTGTTTGAGACAGCTTATTCCGAATAGTTTATTGGTAGTTATTGATGTATAAATGACATTCCTGCCACTGTCTAGTAAAACTGTTTGAAACATAACTAAAATGAGAACAAAAACATATAGTACAGAAGCATATAGTGCAGAAGCATAAAATCATCATAGATCAGTTCCAAAAGATGACATACAGTTCTCACACTCTCGTGAGTATAAAAAAAATAAAAAAGGATAAAGACAAATACAACCAATAAATTGTGATCCCTGTATAGAAAAGACCAAGCAGGCATAAGCAAATCTCAATTGGAATGAGTCGAGTGGGTCAAAAAAACTTCAAACCGCAATGTCATTGAAAGCAATACAACAAGAATTTGAAAAACTGCCAACCATCCTGTCAACCTGCAGAAATCAGAGCAAGAATTGAAATAACTGCCAACCATCCTTCTTAACATTAGCAACTCATGACAAGAGTTGGATAAAATACCAACCACAATCTCTCCTAGAATTGAAATAACTGTCAACCACAATCTCTCCTACAATTTAAAAAGAACTAAGAATTCTAGAGAATTAAACAGAAAGATCAACCACAAAACATAGGAAACTTAGAAATCAAACTCTTAAACAGAAATTAATAGCAACTCATAAACAGCTCTTAAGGCTTTCCTTGCCTGTATAAGCAGCTCAGAAATTATTCCTTACGCCCAACAAAAATCCTTGCTTTTCGACTTGAAATAAAAAGAAGAAAAGAAAATTCTTGCTCTTCGGTCAAGGAGGAAAAAAGAACCATGTAGCAGCGACGTTCGATCGCCATTTCCAAACAAATCCAGGGAGGGAGAGGGCGTGGGAGATAAAATACCCAGCAAACAGAAATTATCCTCACGCTCAGCAAAAATCGAAACAAAGTCGGGCTCAATATAATGAATGCATTCTCCACACTATCTTCATCTTATAACAGACAGGGCTCGATAAAATACCCAGCAACCAGATCACACCTAGCAAAAATCTAAAAGAATTCTAGAGCAACCAAAAAGAATCATTCGCATTCTTCGACTTAAAATAAAAAGAAGAAGAAAATCCTTGCTCTTAGGTCAAGGAAGAAAAAAAACCATGTAACAACGACATTAGATCACCATTTCCTAACAAATCTAGGGAGGGAGAGGGAGAGGGCGAGGGAGATACACGAGAAAGATACACGAGAAAGAAGCATTAACGGTGAGGGAAAGCATACCTTACGAATCAGAAAGAAAAATCGAAAGAAAGAAGGTTCGATCTCCTCTAGGGTGACGAATCCAGGGAGGGAGAGGGCGAGGGCGAGGGAGATCAGGGGTATCTAGAGCAACGCTTGTCGCTGAACTCGGGACGCGGGTCTTTACTTGCGTCGAAGACCCTTAAGGAATTTCTGGACGCCGAAACGGTGCAACACGAATAATTTGCGCGAATGCATGTTCCAAACAGTGTGGCGGCGTTTTGAAAATGTCTTCGTACCCCAATAAGCTGCCCCAAATGGGCCCGAAGTGTCCTAAAATTTTGGTTAGATTAACAAAAGTATCATTCTAAATTACAAGTAAAGTTTCAACTTCGCATGAGGAAGACATTGACTTAAAATTAGAGTTTGGAGGCTTCGATTCAATCCCAGATTTAGATTTTCAACCAAGAACATCGTAATCAAGCAAAAGTAAGTCTTGAAGGCATGTCCTTAGAGGATCGCATGCATAGAATGGAGAAAAATTAAGCTTGAATTTTTCAACTATTAGAAAGACTGCCTAATAGAGAATCTGTTCATTGCATGATGAAATTCACCATCCACAATATCAACAGCAAAAGGCTTATCAATTTGAGAATGTTAATGTAAAATCTCCTCATCATCAAATTGAAGAGTCTCTTGCACCACAACACAATCTTAAACTTATTAACAATGCTACTTTAGTACATTCTTTTCATCTACTTGATCAACTCACAATTCTCCAAAATCTTTGGACTTTAACTCGGCCTTTCCTCGTGGACATGTCTCGTGATATTACATGAGAGAAACTGCAATGACTCGTTAAAAAGAATTTTCTATGAGAAACAAAAATTAGATTTACTTCCTAACGCGGCTTGTAATATTCTTCACCCCTGACTGAGAAAATTTTGCAATATTCTATTCTAGTGAGATTCAAGATGGCCGTTATAGATCCTTAATACAGGTCCACATTATCATGAATATCTAGCAACCGTTATAGATCCTAAATACAGGCCCACATTATCATGAATATCTAGCAAACTTGGAATGAGCTCTTCGGTCAAATCTTCTACACCAATCGCAAGTCAAGATCATACCTAGTTAAATTCTCTCTTAAAAATTTTCTATAACTTTGAAGAGAGAGTTTCATCGACCAGAGAATCATTAAAGACTCATCCCACCTTTGTAATACTTACCGAAAATAAAAAATAAATGAGAAATTTTAGAATACTTTCAATGAGTTTCTTCTAAAACTCACCAAATTTCATAAATGGATATTGAGTTATTAAGAGAAAATTTTTCTTGAAGATATTTACTCTTAACCATTTGTACTCTTAAAAAGCTATTTGTTCTTATTTTAATAGTATTTATAGAGTGTAAACACAAATTTTTTAATTATGAGACTATCATATCAAAAGTATTTTGAATGAATAATGATCATCTAGCAAGCAGAATAATGATCAAGGAGATGCTACAAATCCCAACGGATAAAACATTAATAACACAAAAAAAATTGAACTTCTTCAGTTTTCTCAACAGCAATATGAATATAAACAAAAGAAAAAAGAGTATGCTTTATTAAACGCATCTTAAGCCAATGTGTTGATAGCCATCCGAGATAAAGCTATTGTTATGTGGCACAATCAACTAAGTGCAAATATTATAAATCATAAATTACATTATCATTTCCACTAAAAATGCTGACATTCCATTAAATCCCATAAGCAATTAAGGAAATATATTAAGACGTCGATCCAACAAGGTTATCTTTGTCACGTTATTCAAAACAGACTCGCTCGGATAGATGCTGAATCTGTTAGAGGCAGAAGTGAAAACGAAGACAGTAGCAAAGTAGCCATTAAATGGTTCGAGAGATTGAAGGTCATTACTTGAGGACCATTATTATCCTTCCAATTTCTATGTATTGCCCTTAAAAAATTAGCATCAAAGAATTCATATGTCGTTCGCTCAATCATATTTAATGATTAAGATTTGAAAAGGATCCATATTCCCCATCAAAGCCCACTTACCATCAATACCAATCACTGCTTCAACCTTTAGAGACCCTAATTGGTAATTAAAGTTTCGATAAGAATCTATTGTATTATATATTCTTTGACTTGGGCCTAATGAGAGAAAAGCACAAAATAGCTACAAGACTGTTATAAGGACCCGCCAATTAACCAATAAGTGTAACATAAATAATCATGCACTATATCATACTTAAAGAATTTTCTCTACAAAAGACTCAATTGATTTAATTTGTGAAGTCAAGTCAAAATCATATATAATGTTATTTTTGGGAGACTTATCGAATCAATAATCTTTGGCGCTATGACTTTTGTACCAGATATGAAGATAAAGTTTTTATTTCAGTATGAGAAGACCAAAAAAGGCACAAATATGTTACCTCACATAAGCTCAATCATGACCATCAACGACTTCGTGCATTAATAATTTTTATTAATGGGATGAAACTACACTTCAAATGGCCTTACATATGAAAGAATCGGTTCACATCTCATTGTTATATGGGCATCTCTCATAATGAAATGAATTGGTCATTTGCTCTCAAAGAAAGAGGGATTAAAGTATGTAAATTTTTATTAAAAAAAAAAGCATTTTTGGTGGAGTCTGCCTGCGATTGATCTTGATGCAATATTACATTTCCTTAAAATAAACTCGAAGTTTAAGGATCATCATTCAAAAAAAGAGAAATTTTGCACCAAACCATCTACAACTAATTGAGCAATAGGTTGGCAAACAAAATTATGGGATGAAAAAATGAATTTTCTTTAATAATGTCAATTAAGTGTTCTACAATTTCTTTTTGAATCATTTGAAAAGTTTCAATCAATTTAGCTTGAGATCAACCCATTTTTTGTGTTAAACATTTGGTGCTAATTTTATCAACTCAACCAATAAAAGCACTTTTACATTTCATTTTCAATCACTTTATGTCAACAAATGTCCCTCCAACATTTCCTTTAAAATTCCTTGGTTTTTCTTTAATTTGGCTTGGCTATATATTATATTAACATTTTCATTTCATCACACTAAACAAGAGTGCTGCCAATCCAAGCTCCCAAAATTGATCCAACTCAATAAGACAAAACCCACCCGATGAAGAAGCAAAGCTAGTCACTGAAAGGCCAAAAACAGTGAAATTTAATAAATTTTGATCTCAACCAAATATAAACCATATTTTATATTCTTTACGTTGTTTCATATAAAATACTATCAATATTACTATCAAACAAGATAAACAAATTGTTCAGTAAATTGTTTCTAATCTCGTAATCATAAAATGATACTGAAATAGTGCTTCCATCATGTAAATAAAGCAAAATTATTGAAAAGCATTGGCAACTGAATAAATAGTTGTACCGGCCCAATCAAGTCAAGTAAACTAATACAATGCTTTAAACGGAAAACTGGTCAGTTTGGGGGGAAAAAAACTCTCCCTAAAGTTTGCTAAGTCACCAAATTTCAGAAACTACAAAGAAACGCTACAGAATTCCAGAAGTAAAGCAAATAAATGGGAGGTCATGCAACTACTTTTATAAGAAAATAATTCATCAGGTTATATGCATTTTATCAATAAAGTAAACATAAATTCATAAATTCAACATTATCTGCCAATTAAATCCCAAACAAAATTTTCACAGGAGTTTTCAAACTAAATGTTGAGGAAAAAGGGGAATCATCTACTTACCAGAAGGATAGTTATTCTATACATCACTCATAACAACAGAAATGATTAAAATTAACCGCAGAATTGGCTCCAAAATTTGTACAGAATTACAAAACCTTCAGGCCAGCATTTCTCCTCAAAGAATTCACCAAACCTAATAACCAAACGAATAAATTGAAGAAATAATCATCAAAGCTATTTCTGTGGGAAATCAGTTCTAGTGATAAAAAAATGTTGCGCATCAACGCTACATATTACTAAACTAATTTACTTGAGCTAAATATTCACCTTGTCTCATGACTAACACATAAATGAAAAAATATTAACAGGAAAGTAGGGTGCCTGTAAAGGAACAAAAAATAGAACACACAAACAAGTAACAGGTCATCTGGAACAATATGGCTTCAGGAAATGGGATGCCAGAGCAAAAAAAGCTTAGAATATAAAATCAAACATAAAGATGAATTGTTTCAATATGCTGATTGAACTTTTTGAAATAATTCAACAACAACAACAACAAACCTTTATCCCACCAAGTGAGGTTGACTACATGAATCCTTTTTCTCCATTGCATCCTATTAAGTGTCATATTTTCATTTAATTCAGTGATTTAAAAAAATCATGTGCTCCGATTATGAAAATCAGATCAAGTTTCATAATTCTAAATGTGAAGATATAATAACTCTAATTGTGCTACCTTTGCACTTCTAAAAAAAATCAAGGGAACAAATTATTTTGTTCCAGAATTAAGATCATCGAAAAGTTTATCATTCGAAGCAATAATGTGTAGCATAGCTTAAATATTTTATACACCAAAGAAAAACACCACTGACCTTTAGAGCTAAACTATCATATATTCAACATCATGTAAGCAATTAGAAGAAGCAGTTACCTGAGTGACATAAGATTTAAAAAAAATGAAGAATGAAAGGTTCTCAATCCCGAAGGCCCAGTTCAAGCTCCAACTCATCATCCTCTTCAAATAATTTCAGCAGCCGAGCATATTGTTCTTCTCTCTTCTTTCTTTGCCAAAGTTTGAATATAAAAACTGAAAGAGCCACAAATGCAGCCAAACCCAAGCATATCAGAAGAACCACACGACCAGAACTCCCGCTTGATTTAGATGATTCATTAGCCCCAACAACTTTGGAAGTTGATGGAGTAACACCAAAACCTACAGTTATTTTCAGCCAAGAAAGCATTCTAAAACCAGAACTGGAAGTTGCAAAACTAAGAAAGCTGAAAACAACTCTGGCAAAAACATTTGAGTATAGAAAAAATACCAACTAATAAATTGAAGAAGTTCAAGCATTAAAACTTCTAAAATGATGAAGGAAGATCTACAAACATACCACTTAATTCCTATATAATTACATATCTAACACCTAGACTTCAATTTTTACATATATGCCACCTGATGCAGAGCAACCTTCAATTCAGAACTGTTCAGGAGAACACCTTATCCTTTATATTCTCTTGCTTTTATTTTCCTTGAGCATTTATAATAAGTTGTTAATTACGTTGTTAGTTACAGCCATTTTAACTTTCACATGGGTTGGTCCACTCATCCTGCCGGCTATATGTATGGGTTGGAGAAGCATTGGATATTTTCTGGAAAAAGGGTTTTCTGAGTAATACAATTTGTTCCTATGTTTTCAGCTTCTTGTCAGGTGAATACTAGAGTTGCATCCTTTTGGTGTCAGAGCTCGTGATCGATAAAGAGAAGAATATGGCAGGTGACGACGATCAGCGTTGGGATGAGTTATGTAAAGCTGAAACAGTTCTAGATCACAAATTCGACGATCTTTCCACAAGATTTCAGTTGTTTGTAACTGAAATGAAAAGAAAACTGTGCAATCTCATAAATGGTAGCTTCATACATCCAGCAACCTTACCAGTAGAACCAGCAAACCTCAATGGACATGAAGGAACCACTGAGATAAAACTAAATCAATGACATCCCCCACACAATTTTCGACAACTTAATTCTTATTTTCATGATCTAGGAGATGACTCCATTCACCATCGACGAACAATCCCATGTGATTCAAATTCTGAGGAACCAGTTCCTATACAACGCCAACATCATAATCATCATTCATTCCATCGCACGCCTGTACAATTCAAAATGAAAATCGATATACCTATTTTTAATGGTCATTTGCACATTGAGAATTATGTGGATTGGGAACAAAGTGTAGAAACATTCTTCGAATATATGAAAATTGCACCAGATAAACAGATGAAATATGTGGCTTGTAAGCCAAAAGGAGGTGCAGGAGCATGGTCGATCCAAATAAACTAGCATCACCATGGAGAAGGAAAAGGCAATGTGCGCAGTTGACGTCGAATGCAACAACTACTTCGCGGCCACCTCCTTCCTACTGATTTCGAGCAAATGTTATATCTCCAATACCAAATATATAAGCAAGGAACACGAACTGTTAGTTCTTATACTGAAAAATTATGCAGGTTGAGTGCACGTAATAACCTGAATGAATCCAATCAACAATTGGTTGCTCGTTACGTTGGGGGTTTGAAGGATAACATCCAGGAATGGCCGCAGATGAATGTGATTTGGACAGTATTGCAAGTTGTTAATTATGCACTAAAGGATGAAATACAACCGAGTAGAAAGCCAATTCAGACAATATCGATGCACGAATATGGCTAGTAATACACCATTGGAACTACATAAGATACCTTCTAATGCTGCCAAGGGTATCCAATCTCAACCACCAACTACTATACCTGCAATAAATCCTCCAACGGGAAAACAACCAATAAATACAGATAATAGCTATGTCAAACTAGGACCATCAAAATGCTTTAGATGTTTTCAACCTGGTCATAGATCCAATGAATGTCTGAATCGAAGGCAATTTCAATTGTTAGATGCCGACAATGAAAATGAAAAAACTTCTATCATCCAAGAATCTGAATCAATGAAGGAACTTTCGGCTGATGAGGGAGAATTTCTTTCGTGCATCCTTGAAAAGGAATTGCTGGCTCCTAAACAACCTATTAATGCTCAACGCCATGTGATCTTCAAAACTCGTTGTACTATCAAAGGCAAAGTATGTGACATTATTGATAATGGATGTACTAAAACATAACTTCAGGAAATGGAGTTAAAGCATTACAATTAAAGACCATCAAACATCTCAATCCTTAAAAATTAGTTAGATTCATAAAGGTGTTGATGTATCAATTACCAACCCTTGCAAAGTAACTTTTTTAATCGGAAAAAACTGTGTGATGTCCTTGAGATGGAAGCCTAATAATTGGCTAGCCGGCAATTTGATATGGGGGCAACTATGACTGTAAGGCAAACGCGTAATACTTTTGACTGGAAAGGCAGAAAATTTTAGTTGCTTCCTACAGTTCCTACTCTTAAATGTCCTATAACAAATTACGTTGGGTACTTGGCAATATCTGGAAATCAGATTAGTATTCATTTCAAGAAGGAGAAAGTGCCTATTTACAAGTTTGGCCAATAAACCATATAGTTCACAGCAAATATTGCATGCAGTTTTGATAAAACTGCTCTTACAATATCAAGATACATTGCCAAAGGACCTTCTAAATCAGCTCCAGCCGCTTCGTTCCATCCAACACAAGATTGAGTTTATTCTAGCATCAACACTCCGTCATGTATGCATTACAAAATTAATCCCAAAAAAGCAAAACATCTTATAGGAAAAAATTGACGAATTACTTAACAAGCAATTCATAAGGCCATATGTTAGCCCATGTGTTGTTCCTGCACTGATCGTTCCAAAGAAAGACGAGAGTTAGCGCCTATGTATTGAAAGCTCTGCCATTAACAAGATTACAATGAAATTGTTTCCCTATGCCTCGGCTAGAAGATCTTCAAGATAAACTCTCAGGTGCTAAACTATTCTCAAACATAGACTTCGCAATGGTTATCACCAAATTTGTATTTGGCCCGGAGATGAGTGGAAGACGTATTTTAAAACACAAGAAAGTTTATACGAGTGACATATGCAGCTCATGAATGAGGTATTAAAACTTTTTTTACATAAATTGTGTGTTGTTTACTTTGACAATATTTTGATTTGTAGTACTTCCTTAAGAGCATCTTAATCATCTCCAATTATTCTTCTCAACTTTAAGACAGCACCAACTCTACCTTAATTCTCCCAAGTTCGAATTCACAACCACTGCAGACCACTTCTTAGGCTTTCTCATTAGCCAAGATGGTATAAAAATAGATGATTGCAAGATTCAAGCAATCCAATCATGGCCAATCCCAACATCCCTTACAGACATTTGAAGTTTCCATGGGCTCGTAAATTTTTATCGCTGACTTATATTGACTTTCAACATATTGGCCGCTCCAATAACAAATTGTTTGAAGAAACATTAGTTTCATTGGGGTCAGGAAGAATAGCAAAGCTTTGAAATACTTAAAGAGAAACTCAGCATAACACCTATGTTGGCCTTTGCCAATTTTGAGAAGACGTTTCAAGTAGAAATAGACGCGTCTGTTATTGGGATTGGAGCTGTTTTCTCCCAAGAGGGAAAACTAATTGAATTTTTCAGTAAAAAATTAAACGCTTCTTGTCAACGTTGGTCCACATATGAACAAAAGCATTATGCGGTTATACGAGCTCTCAAACAATGGGAACATTACCTTCTATATCAGGAATTTGTTTCTCTCAGCAACCACCACTCGCTTCAATTTTTTAATTACTAGAAACACATGAAACATATGCACATTTGTTGGGTCGCATTCTTCCAGCGCTTTTCTTTTGTTCTCAAACACAAACTTGAAAAGTGCAATCAAGTTGTTGATATGTTAAGTCAAAGGACTTGCTTATTATCTACATTCCAAACAGAAATTATTGTGTTTGAATCATTAGCCAAGCAATATGTTGAAGATTCTGATTTTGCACAGATTTGGGCTACATGCTTAAACCATATGAATATTATTAATTTCTCTATTCATCATGGATTTTTATTTAAGGATAATCAACTGTGTATTCCAAATTCTTCCCGAAGGACCAAACTCATTCATGATATGCATGAACGTAGATTAGCAACTCGTATAGGCACAGATAAAACTCTAACTTTACTCCAATCCATATTATGCTAGCCTAAGCTACGAAGAGATGTTTATCAATATATTGAACAGCTATATCTGTCAAACTTTTAAAGGTAATGCTCAAAATATAGGATTGTACACTCCTTTATTAGTACCAGAGACCATATGGAAAAACATTATCATTGATTTTAGTTTGCGTCTTCCAAAAACTAAAAAATTTCTTGACTCTATAATGGTTGTAGTGGACATATTTTCCAAAATGTCTCATTTTATCACAGGTAAAAAAAAACTTCAGATGCAGTTGATTTGGCTCATTTGTTTTTTCCAAACCTCCATTTGATACTTTTTACACCAGTCCCCCTAATCCTATCGTGAATATTATAACTGTTCCATATGCTCCTAAAAAAATGCCACAAATACAGTCACCAACTGTGATTCTCTCCTTCAGGAAGTCCAACAGAAATTAGCGGACAACAATTAGCTATATAAAGACCAAGCTGTTTCACACAAACAGGAAAAAAATTTTGAAGCAGGTGGCCTTATTTTTGGTAAGACTTCGGAATGAACGTTTCCCAAGAAAAACTACTAAAAAATTACAACCACGGAAACTAGGACCATTCCCAATTGAACGGTGCATCAACGACGATGCATTTATTATGTCTCTTCCACCATATCTAAATATCTCAGCCACTTTTAATGTTTCTGACATTAATCAGTATCACCCACTTGACGACAACAATGTCATTTCGAGCAAACTCGACTCGAGTTCTCTGGACAACAACAATGTCATTTATGTATGTATGTATGTATGTCTGTGTTAGAGAAGATTGTTGGAGAAGATTAGTAAGTATCAGAAATTTTCTGGAAAAAAGGTTATACGAGCGATAAAATTTGCTCCTCTGTTTTAGCTTCCCATCAGGTGAATATCAGAGCTGAGTCAACTTAATGCCTATATATTTACATATCTAACACCTAGACTTCAATTGTTACATATATGCAACTTATGCATGAAAATGTGAAGTTAAAATAGTGGTATTTTTTTATGTGATATGAAAGATTTGGGTGGCATAAATGTATAAAGTAAACTTTAGATGTTAGATATGTAACTACGCAGGAATTGGGAGGTATGTATGTAAATGAACCAATAAAAAAATAGAGGAAGAAAAGTGGAAGTTTCATGGCCATTCAACATGAATCCCAAAATCAGACTCTAAAAGCCATGCAAGTCCACTCGCCGACCTTTTGGCTTCCAGATCAATGAAACGGTGAAATGATGTTAATAGGGCACAAATATTTTCCCAATTCTACTCTTGCTTGTGATGTTATAATGCATGATTTTTCTAGTTGCTGCGCATCCAATGATTAAAGAACCAACAATGCAACCCATAAATCTAAGAATTTTTGTGAAGTATCTTTAAAACTAAATCCTTATTATTATACAATCACAACTATGGGAGATTTTCCTATAACTTGGTAAATGGGAATCAGTATAATCTCTGTTCTTTTAGAAAAATTTATTAGAATTCAGAGTGCAGTTTATTGACTGATTAATCACTGTAGCAAGCTTTCAAGCCACTAATCTGTTCATATGCTACTTAAGCATGCTACCGCAAGCTACTTTCCATTCAACAAATTTGGAGCATAGCTAGGCTAAATTTTGGCCTATAAAGACCTATCCAATGAGTTTCTCTCTAGGGAACAAAGTAATTATGTTGAAGTTATCATGGGGGATTTAGATTAAGGCTGCTATCACGACTCATAATATCCAATTGAAGCAATTTAAATGGCGTTTCAGGAAAGATGCAGCAATTACATAATCGAAGAGCCATCAAATTTGCTAATTTTCCTTTTTAAACCATCAACATCACTTGTGACGTCAGGATAAATATTTATAATAGACTATTTTTCATGGAAAATAAAAATAAAAATTACAGCATGAGAAAAAACAATTACATTTTTAACCTTGTTGCTAGAAAACATATTAGAAGTTTCAGCAGTCTCAACAAAGGAAGTCCATGAGATCCCTGGATAGTATCCAAGGGTAGAAAATTCATTTGCACAGTCCAGGATGTTTTGGGGTGTATAGCATTAAGAAATTTATTGTGTTTAAATTTAATTTCAGCTCAGGGGTGTAATGTTGTATACATTTTTCTTTCTTTTGATGTACCTAAGGCTTTTTTTAACTAGAATAGTATATACATGTGTTGACAGGTATCTATCATCTTGAATCCAAAAGTAGAGAATCAAGTGAATCTATTAACATCACCGCGCGCCTGCCACTCAAGATTAAATTATCGTTGCTTTGAATAGCAATCTAGCCAATGGTATACTCAGAATTTATGGATAGGGGTGACGACTATTTAAGTGTTAAGCTTCAACTCGTAAAAATTAAAAAATAAAACTTATAAAATTTATTAGTAAATTAAAAAATAGTTGATATTAAAATATCACTAGGTATTTAAGTTTAAAGGGAAAACTTTCATGGTATTATATGATATTAAAGATTATAATAAAAAATTACGGGTGATGAGCACCTCCCCCAGCCACTCCTTGGTTCCACCGCTAAATGTAGTAGAACCTCACCCATCCAATTCAAAATCCATACAAATCTTCTCCATCAATAGTAACATAGATAAAATTGTTCAGACAATTAAGCCATCATCAGCAATGTCAATCATTAGGAAGTAGCATTAAGAATCAAGAGTAAGGGCTATGAGAAGAAGGAAAAAAACACTTCTTGATTCCTTTTCTATTAGTTCGTCCCATTTTCAAGGTGAGATAAGGGTTAAAAAAGGAGATGTTGTGAAAATTACTAAGAAATAGAAGGGAGGAGGGACTAGTCACCAATGCAAAGGAAGAAATGGAGTTAAACAAAGTCTCCTAAACCTTGATATCAATTGAATAAAGAATGCTGACAGAAACAAAAAACCTACCACTGGAATTGGGAATAACAAACAACATCGAGGGTGTTGCACAACCTATGGATCACTTTGAAGAGATTAAAGCACCACATCTTCAGTGGGAAGAGAATAATTTTCTTTTTCAAGGAAGCAAAAGCTTTAGACAGTTAACATTTTAAATGCTGAAACAACATGCTCATAAAGGAAATGAAAGATTAAGATTCTGCATAGATTTATACAAACATGTACTAAAACAAATATCAAAAAAAGCAAAATAATGCAAGTACATCAAGCCTGATAATCAAAGCCTCAACATATCCTTTCTAGATCTTTCAAACTATATCTGCGTATGCACTAAAACTTCTAAACACCAAGATTATATATAAGAATCATTCAAACTATATGTGTGTACAAATCAAATGGCATGCCATAACACAATCTCGTTTCAATGTGTCGAGGTTCCACTATGCAACGAATTAACAGTAATCGACTTTGAAGTAAAATTCTTTGAAGTAAAATTCCAAGGATCCTAATAAAACTTAACTCCTGAAAACTAAATACAATCATGAAGGAGAAAATAACCTAGTTTTTTTTCCAAATCCAAACAAAACCGAGGTCCAAAATCCAAGAAACCATGTCAAAATAGCAATCATCAGTCATATTACATCATGCGGTACTGATATCTGAATTCCCAACATCAAACTTTAGTAGAGAAAATTTGGATCTATGGAAGCTAATCCGCACCTGGAATTAGCTGCAGAGCAAACAAAGTGAGGAGGACGAGATGTCTCCAGCTCAGCCCACGTACGTCTCCGCTGCACATCTCTCTGCACCCTTCGGCGCTCTCCTCTGTTAGCCCGGCCCCCTCTCCCATAGATCCAACGCGTCCACAAGTCGGCTCCGGCAGCTTATAATAATTTTAGGATATTTATTTAATTGCACGCCACTCAATTATAAATATTACATATTCCACATCTAAATATTTATTTTTACATGTTTGACACCTAAAATATGTAATTTCAATAAATTTTCTAATATTTGAAATTTTCATTTTGATTCAAAAATGCAATAAATAAAATGAGCTATATATTTCATATGTAAAATTATTATTTAGTTCTTGAAGCTGCATAACAATGATTTTATAGAATATGTTAACTCAAAAAATGATATAAATTTATCATGTATTCAACTCTCTATTGATGGCATCCATGAGCCACCTATTTAGCATTCATATAATGATTTATTATTTAATACTTTTAATAAAATAAATATACTATTAATAAAATTTTCTCATTTGTTATGGCTCATATTTTACGGTCTCATTGTTTATATTTTTAAATGAAATATATAACATTCACACACATTATCTTGATAATTCTCTTTATTGCTTGTGATAATTCAAAATTGATAGCAATATTATCTTTCATTAGATGGAGCTTAAAATTAGCTTAAATATTTGGATCGATTTTAATAATATGCGCTCATTTACTATTTATTTATATTTTATGCAATCACTTGTAGCAATTTATAATATATCAGCTATTAAAGAAATTAGTGTGATCATAAATGACTCATAATATGAATCTCATGATATATGAAATGTCAATTTAAAAGCAATCTCTTAGCTTAATTAACATCGTATGATATGCTTCTCATTTTTCTAATGCTCTTTGTGTATTATTTTTAGTTGATCATGGCATTTATTTAAGATGCTAATAATATTAATCGAATTTAAAATGAATTCAAAATAAAAGTCTATGTTTATAGTCGATTGAGGGAGAGGGATATATAACATGCAAATGGAGCTTGGTTCCTTCTTCATTCCTGGTAGGGTATGATAATGGTGGTTGGCTTTTTATTTTGCCTGTTTTTAGATCTTTTACTTTGGTATAACTATTCTTTGTTGGTTTCTTGGCTTGGAGTTGTTGTTTGCCTAGAGATTTATGCTTCTTTAGAAAATAATAATGTTCCATTGGATAGTGTCACTGTTCCATTGAAGTATCTTCTTCTGTTTTTATCATTGTGCTCTTACTCATCTTGGTTTTTGCTCCATGGCTTCTCTGGTACTGCTATATTGATTTTTAGATAGAAAACCTTCCTATCTAGATGCTCTGGAAAGCATTAAGGCTAATGAAGCTTTTAGACCTGAAACAGTAAGCTTCCTTGAAACTTCTATGAACAATTTGAGCTTGAATCTTTTTTGACTTTCCTCAAAGAAAGCTGTGAGCTAAAATAGCAAACCTGCTTTATACTTTTCTGAAATTAATAATTAAATCCTTACTAACGCCTTGAAGCTCACTTTTGTTGGCAAGTTCACCTAATCGTACCCAAAAATGGAGATTGTCAGGAAATACTTCTCTAGCCTCAAATTGGAGGGAGAATGGAATGTAGGGTTGATTGATGGAAGGTGTATTATGATAAAGCTAGAAAGAGAAACATATTACACTAAAATTGTCTCCAAAAAAAACATTTCACCACTGATGAAACCAATTGTTCATGTTTGGCTCAGATTCCCAGAATGGAGTTACATTACTTCAATATGGAGGTTTGTACTCTCTTGGAGCTAGCTATGACAAACCTATGAATGTGGACATTTCTATTTATAATTTGACAAGGCCTTCTATGGCTAGAGTGCATGCCTAAAGGTACATCTCCCTCCCTTTCCCTGATTATGTATGGTTGGGCAACTCTAACTCTAGTCTAGAAAAGAGAATGCTGCTAAGGTTTCTGGCTCTGTGGATAGCATACCACCTACTTATCCTCCTGTTGATAATTTGGTGGTTTCTAAAGCTAATGCTTACACTGCTGAGAAGGATAATGATAATATTGGGAACTTGGTTAGTGCTACTCAGGAGCCTAGGGGGACTGATTTTGTCCTTCAAGGTGTTAGTGCTCAATTTGTAGTCATTAATCCATCTAAGAAGTATGTGCATATTGTATTAAATTTCAAAGTTACCAAAGAAAGCAAATTTGGTGCCCCTCAAAAAAAAGAAAAGATTTTTAGATGAAACAAATGATTCTAACCATTATATTGTTGGACCTTCTTTCCTCCTAGTTAATGCTGCTGTCTAGGACCCATTCGTGAATAATTTTATAGATAATGAGAATAATATTGATACATTTACTGATGTTGAGAAGTTGCAATCTGATGATATATTTCAAGCAAGGGTTGCACTTGAAGAGAAATAGCTCATTCAAAAATCCATGTAAAAATGGATTAAGGGCTCTAGAGAACTAAAACATCCTAATCCTTGGGCTTGAATTTCGCAAATGCTCTATAGTGACAAATCTACTACTAAGCACCCTTCCAACTCTCTTAAGACCACTAGAGGATCCACAAAACATGATTTTAATGACATTTAAACTTATGATTTGGAATATTAGGGGCATTGCTAAATCCAATGCTTCCCAAAACTTGGAGAACCTCATATGATTTTATAAAACCTGATGGGATATTATTAAGCTTGATCAGATTTCTGTTGTTCATGCCTTTTTTATGACTCGGACATACACAAAACATTTCAAGCTCTTTACTACAGCCTTGATTCCCAAGACTTCTTTCTATACTCATTAGTTTGATTTTAGACCATTAATTCTTTCTACTGTGGTCTCTGAAGTAATCAGTAAAATTTTGGTGGCTAGAATTCAACCTCATCTTAGTGAGATTATCCGACCATACCAATCTGTTTTCATTAAAATAAGGAATAATGTTAACAACACCCTCATTACACAAGAGCGACCTTTGGACCTTGACAAACCTTGTAAGGGTGGTAATCTGATCCTTAAAATGGATGTCAAAAAAACATATAATACTATCCCTTAGAGCTTTATTATCAGGGTGCTTCTGGCCATGGGTTTCAATAATGAATTATTCTCTCTAATCAACCTTCTTCTAGATAATATCTTGTATTTCATCATCATTAATGGTAGCAAATATGGTTACTTTAGGGCAAATAGAAGCATAAGACAAGGTAACCCCCTCTCTCCAACTTTCTTCATATTAGCTTTTGATTTATCTTTCTAGATGTTTGTGGGATCTCTTCTCCAAGCACCCTCAATTGTTTTTTAGCAGTAAAGGGAACCCTTGAATTCATAATTTGGCCCATGTTGATGATCTCATTATTTTTGTAAGGGTCAGTTAAAATTTCATCAGGAAGGTGTGTAAGTAGTTCCAACACTTTGAACAGGTCTCTAAGATGGCTTTTAATAAGACTACATGTGATTTTTATGTTGGAAAAAAAGTTTCTCAAAGTCAGAAAAACTGGATTGCTAAATTTACTAGCTTTTCTAAATGTCATTTTCGTATGTCTCATCTTGGAGTAAAAATTTACAATTGAAAGAAGAAATGTTGTCTCTTTGAAAATATTCTGAAGAAAATTAAGGCCGATCTGATCACTTGGGAAAACAACTTCTTATCAAATGGGGGAAAAAGTCACCCTTCGCAAAAGCATTCTCACAATAATTCCTCCCTATACTATGTAGATATCTTAGGGACTATTTAGGATCAATTATTGTTTTTTTGTTTTTTGTTTTTGAAAACATAAAATAGAAAATATAAATATAAACAATGTTTGTTTATCTGTTTTTTATTTTATTTAAATTATCTTATTTTTAGGTGGCCACTTCTGTTTTTTTTTTTTAAATACTAAAAATAAAAACTTGTTTTTACTTTTTTTTTTTTAATACCCGCCACCAATACATCCGTTGAGCCGCTGGCCCCCGCCAAGCCGCCGATCGCCATCTGCCCGCCGTCAACCCTCGCTCGTTGCTACTCGCCCCTACCAGTTTTCGCCTGCCCGTCACCGCCTCCCACCAGTCTCTGGTCCCCACCTTCTGCATTCGGCCGCTAACCCTAGCCCGCAGCCCGCAGCAGTTGCCGCCGCCCGCCGCTTGCGGCTAGCCTTTGCCCGCCTCTACCTGATTAATTGCCCGTAGGTAATGCTTCGTGCTGTATAAATCAAGGAAGTCATCTTATACGTCATGGGCCACATGGCTTAATACTGGAGCGCAGTTGAACCCAACCGTTTTATAAAATGTACAAATTTTTCTTCTAAAAAAAAATACAATAAAAAATATTTTTATTTTTATTTTAAAAATATATAAAATCAAACACGTTTTTTAAAGACAAAAAACAGTAAACAAAATAACAATAAAACATGCTAAAATGAAAACAAAACTATAAAACACAAATTGATCGCAAACAGGCCCTAAGATGCCAAAAAAAAAGCCATTATTCTGAGATTGGAGAGATTGTTTAATAATTTTTTTTTGGAATGACCAATCATCCACAATCCATTGGGTAAGATGGAAGAAGTTACGTAAGCTAATGAATGAATGGGGACTTGGCTTTTAGATCTTCACAGGATTCCATTAAGATCACTTTAGATCAAATTCTGGGCTGGTAATTCCTTGTAGGTTGCTGTGATGAAGAAGAAATATTGTGACAACACTCATGCTCTGGCAAAATATTTTCGAATGTTTGAACAGCTTATTCAAGATTCATTGAATTCAAATGAAGAAGGCATCATAAATCGTGTGATAGAGAATAATTTCTTCAATGATTTGCAACACACGCAATTTAGCATTTAGCAAGTTCATTACTAATATCATAAATTTGTTTTTTGATATCTCGAATGACATGATTTTTTTTTTTTTTTTTTTTTTTTTAATTTATTTTTATGAATTCATAGATTCATGATTAGACTAATGGACCTGAGCACCCAAGTGCATCGTGAATATTTAACAAATTTATGATGTTAATAACTACATGTTTCATGCTAGATCCTGGTCAAAAGGAAAAGACTTATAATTCTGATATTTGTGCTAAAAGCAAATGAAAAATCAGTTGACGAAATAGATTATTGTGAAATTCTCGAAGATGTTGTTGCATTACTATATCCTGATTTTAG